AAAAATCCATTTCACTGCTTTCCAGTGAACCTTTCCTGGATTAGAAAGAAATCTGCTCACTACACCAACTGCATGAGCAATGTCAGGCCTTGCACAAACCATAAGATACATTAAAGAACCGACTGCAGAAGAATAAGGAATACTAGACATAGCTAGTTGCTCTTCCTTAGACACTGGACAAGATTTCTTACTTAGGTGAAAATGGTTGGCAAGTGAACTACTAACTGATTTAGCATGTTGCATGTTGAATCTACCAAGCACTCGTTCAACATACTTTTCCTGTGACAACCACAGCTTTCCAGCTCTCCTATCCTGGATAATGTCCATACCAAGAATCTGCTTTGCTGGACCTAAATCTTTCATATCAAAAGACTTAGACAATTGTTCTTTCAACCTGCAAACCATACTAGCATCTTGTCCTACAATCAACATATCATCAACATATAATAATAGGATAATAAAGTTACCATTAGGGAATTGTTTAACATACACACAAGAATCCGCTGCTGTTCTTTTATAGCTATGACTCACCATAAAAGAATCAAACTTCTTGTACCACTGTCGTGGAGCTTGTTTCAAGCCATACAAGCTTTTTTTCAATTTACAAACTAAGTGCTCTTTTCCTTTCACTTCAAAACCCTCAGGCTGATTCATATAAATGTCCTCCTGCAAATCACCATGCAAAAATGCAGTTTTAACATCAAGTTGCTCAAGCTCAAGATTCAAACTAGCTGCCAATCCCAGTACCACTCGAATAGAACTCATTTTTACAACTGGAGCAAAAATCTCATCAAAATCGATGCCTGGTTTCTGAGAAAAACCTTTTACTACCAATCGAGCTTTGTACCTCACTAGTTTGTCACCATCCTTTTTCAACTTGAACACCCATTTATTCTTTAATGGCCTCTTTCCTGTTGGAAGCTTAACAAGATCATAAGTACCATTCTTTCGTAATGACTCCATCTCTTCTTTCATTGCTTTTAACCAGTGCTCTCTATCCGCAGTAGCCTGCACATCTTGAAAGCTTTCTGGCTCCCCTTCACTGGTAACTAAAATAAAATCTGAACTTGGATACCTGATAGATGGCCTGCGCTCTCTAGTAGATCTCCTAGGCTGAGACTCTACATCACTTGATGCCGAAGGTAGCTCCCCCTGCTCAATACTTTTAGGTAGAGAGGATTGCTCCCCCTGCTCAAAACTAATAGCATCTGGCTCATCAGCAACTGTAGCTGGCTCATCCATATCCCCAAGTTCTGTTTCTGGCTCATTTTCACCATCTGTGGCTCTTTCTTGTGAAATCTCTGTCGGTGTTAAAACATCACACTCAATAGTAACTCGTGTAGTCTTCTCATTTTTCTCAAGGTCTGCTATGGTTTCTTTTTCATGAAAGATCACATCTCTGCTTCTGATTGTCTTTCTCTTTACTGGATCCCATACCCTGTAGCCAAATTCCTCATCACCATATCCTACAAACACACACTGTGTTACTTTACTGTCAAGCTTTGATCTCTGCTCTTTCGGCACATGCATGAATGCTTTACACCCAAAAATTTTCAAGTGAGAGTATGAAGCATCTTTTCCTGTCCACACTCTTTCTGGAATGTCAAAGCCCAAAGGAACTGATGGTGACCTGTTAAGTAAATAACAAGCTGTGTTGACTGCTTCACCCCAGAATGGCTTTGGTAATTTTGCCATCCTCAACATACATCTGACTTTTTCCACAATGGTGCGATTCATTCTTTCAGCTATACCATTATGCTGCGGTGTTCCAGGTTCTGTCCTCTCATGCCTGATCCCATGCTTTGAGCAATACTCTTCAAAGCTTTTAGATGTGTATTCCCCACCATTATCAGTTCGAATACACTTCAAGGGTAACCCTGTCATCCTTTCAACCATGACATAAAATTTTTGAAAATACTGTAGTACCTGACTTTTATATTTCAACATATACACCCAAGTCTTACGTGAAGCATCATCAATAAAAGTAACAAAATATCTGCTACCACCTAATGACTCAACCTCAATGGGACCACATACGTCAGAATAAATTAATTCCAATCTATTTTCTTTTCTCTGAGAACTTTTACGAAAAGAAACTCTATGATGCTTACCAAACAAACAATAATCACATGAATCGAGATACATACCTTTGGTCAAGGGAATGAGAGAGTGCCTTGCCAAAACCTGTAACCCTTTTTCACTCATGTGTGCCAGCCTCCTGTGCCACAAGTTTGCTGAAGCATTATTTTCAACGGTATTTATCTGGTTACTGTTCAATTGCATCCATGTCTTATACATTGTGCAGCATAGTTTTCCCCTTGCAACTACCATAGATCCTTTGAGAAGCTTCCACTGTCCATTCTTTTGTCGACTTTTATATCCCTCCTTATCAAGGACATTAATAGCAAGCAAGTTCATTCTCATATCTGGAATGTGTCTGACATCCCTTAAAGTCAACATGCAGCCTGTACTAGTTTGTACACTAATATCACCAATCCCAACAATCTGTGACACACTCTTGTTTCCCATCTTGGTACAACCAAAGTCTCCTACTTTGTAAGTTGTAAACAACTCTCTCTTAGGAACACAATGATATGCCGCTCCTGTGTCAACTATCCACTCAATGCCGGGATCACTAACATGATTACAATCACCATGTGTACAAATCAAAGTAACTGAATCACTATCTGAATTCACTGCTGCAACATTGCCATCATCTGAACTCTTGCCTTTCTCATCTTTTCGCTCTTGCTTCAAGATTCTACAATTTCGTTTTATATGACCCGCCTTACCACAATGGAAACACTTCACTTTACCTCTAGATTTGGATCTATGTTTAGACTTACCACGACCTTTTGAGTCCTGACCTCTGTCGATGTTTCTACCCCTGTTCTCTGTGACCAGAGCTTGATTCCCAGGGTCTACATCTTTTCGCCTCGCTTCTTCATTAAGCATACTGTCCTTTACCATCTCCAATGTCACATTATAATCAGGAGCTGAATTAAGAACAGTCACAACTAGAGTATTCCAGCTGTCTGACAATGAACCCAAAAGAAATAATGCCTTTATTTCATCATCCATTTTAAGCTCCATAGTAGTCATCCGATTAAATATATCTTGAAAATCACTCAAGTGCTCTGTAACAGATCGTCAATCCCTGTACTGTAAAGTTGCAATCTTTTTAACAAGCATAACTTTATTCATACCTGTTTTTCTCTCATACAATGCTGCCAATTTTTTCCAAACAATGTGAGCATCTGACTCCTGCGCTACATGATGGAACACGCTGATATCAACCCATTTTCTGATTGTAGCCAGCGTCTTTCTACCTAGCTTCTTCCAGCTTTCATTTTTCATATCTGCTGGTTTAGCCGAATCACCCAATACTGGCTCATACAAATCTTTACAGTATAGATGATCCTCCATCATAGGCTTCCAAATTGAATAATTCGATGCTGTCAATTTTATCATGGAACCTGTATCACCCTCTATGATCTCAAACAGAATTTACTTCTATCTTGGGATGCTTCTGTATCGATGTTTCAAAATAACCCTCGCTCTGATACTACTTGTTGCGCCTGAAGCAATAATCACAACAATACAGAAGCAATAGACAACAATCAATAATCAAATGCGCAGGAAAAATAAAGCACACCAAGATTTACGTGGAAAACCCTCCAGTGTAGAGGGAAAAAATCATGGGCCACCAGAAAAATCTTCACTATCAAATAATAGTTATACAAAGTTCTTCTCTAGCTAAAACTAGAGCTAATCAACAACTAGAGAAACAATTGGAGAAATCTCACCAAATAAGTGACTCAACAAATACACCCTGGATTTGTTCCTAGAGAGCTTCAAACCCGATCTTCACCGTTCAGAATGTATAACTCTGAATCATAAACCTCCTGACAAGGTTCCAACTCAATCGGACCACGGATCGACTTCCGTTTAACCAACTCTCCCTTCTCCTTTTTCTCTCTCTGCTTTTCCTGGCTTTTCTTCTTTCTCTGCTTGGTTGTCGACACACACATAAAATAACCTCACCTCTTTTTTATTAAGTAGTTAGGGCTCTGTATAAAATAAAAGATCAAGGCCCATGACCTTTACTTGGTCCAAAACCACTTACATGAGACTGGACCTCATTTTCCTAATAATTTGTCCATAGAAAGATAAACTTACGAAAGAATGACCTCTATTACGAGTAATTTTGGTACCGTGCGAACCCGTAATTCAGTCTCAGGAACGTGTGACCTGTGACAACTAGAGATGTAATTGAGATCCTGGGGGCAGACCAAGACGCAGAAAGAGTGTGCGAGCTGAAAAGGGCTACAGGAGCCCAGGTTAACTGATCAGATTCAACAGCTTTGAGATAGACGCAGACGCGGGCACAAGTGTAAATCCAGGAACCTTCCAACAGGCGCGGGTACATACCGAGCACAGACCTGGAACCTTCCAACAGAGTTCCTCTTGATTCAAACTCTTAGTGGTGAAGTTTTTGTAAATTTGAACTCTTATGTAATCTTTATATAATTTTAGACTTTTTATAAGTCATTAGGTAGGATGAATCTTAGTCGTTGGTGTAAGAAGATCTCGAACTATCAACTATAAATATAGGGTTTCCATCCTCATATACAAGAATTTGATTAATACAAGTTTACTCTCGTCTTATATTTCTCTTTCTCTCTAGCCTTTTCCTCAAATACTTTATATACAGTATTAAGTGCCTGAACATTAATCGGGTTCTTCAAATACTTTATGTGCAGTATTGAGTGCCCGAGCACGGGTGAGTGTTCTTGAGTGCCTGAACCCTAGATCTGGTGTTATGTGCAGCGCAATATTAAGTTCCGGAGCACTAATCGGGTGTTATGTGCAGTATTGGGTGTTCTTGAGTGCCTGAACACTAGATCTGGTGTTAATGTGCCCGAACACTAAATGGAGGAAATCCTGGATTTGATAATTTAGGGGATAAAATTTGCTTTGCGGTTGGACAGTCGGAGACGATGTTGGGTTCAGAGGGAAAAATGCAGATTCAGGAAATCCTGGATTTGATATTGTTAGGGGATGAAATTTGCCTAGCGGTTGAGGAGGCCATGTCGTTCAAGGTGGAATGTGGTGAGGTAGGGAAGCGAGTGAATCGGCTTGCACGAATGCTAAAGACCCTGTATGGCTTCATCACTTCCGCTCATACTGCCGTTTACTTGTGCCCAGTTAAATGCATAGTTGCCAAGGTTCAAGGATAACTTTAAGCATTGCCATGGCCATCGTCAAAATTGCAAGCACCAAAGCATACTTCGCAGACTAGTCTTCACCTGCAGCAATGCTATTGCTACCCCTTTTCGCAATCTCTTGCACGATTTAGATGCTTCTATCAGCGATATGGAGTGCCTGGTTACCTTCTATGACCCCCAAAGCGAAGCCATAGACCCAATGGTGTACAAGAAGCCCGTTACATTTTTGGTCTGGTCTCTTATCGCCACTGTCCAAATGGGGCGGCAATTGGATGATCGAGTCAAGGCTGCTGAATTTCTAGCGTCGCTTGCTCTAGAAGAAGAATATAAGAAACTCATTGTTGAAGAAGGTGGGGTACCTCCATTGCAAAAGCTTTTGAAAGAGAACTCTCCATTGGTTGCTCAAATCACGGCAGCTAATGCACTTTGCCTTCTAGCTAATGAGCAGGAGAGGGAGATGATTATTATGAAGGAAATGATTTCTACAATTAGAAATCGTTTATCAAGAACATCACATATACGGGATCAAATCCAAGCGGCCAATTTGGTTGCCAGCATTGCGAGGCATTATCCGGAGGTAAAGGAATACTATTTAATTAGAGAGGAAGTAATATGGTGGCTGGTACAATTGTTGTCATCTGAGCCATCTACAGATGATCCTCCAACGAATTTATGTAAGTTGAAAATTGGTTGTTCTAAGGCTTTATGGATGCTAGCTCTCGGGAGTGTTTTGAATTGTAGGACATTAACGGAGACAAAAGGAATGCTATGCTTGGCAAAGCTGGTTGAAACGGAACAGGATGAATTACGGTACAATTGCTTGATGATTATAAGGGAGATAACAGCTGTTGCTGAATCAAATGATGAATTTAGACATTCGGCCTTTAAGAGTACTTCTCGAGCTGCCAAGGCTGTTGTTGATGAATTATTGAGGGTAATCAAAGAATTTGATGAAGCAAAATTGAGAATTCCGGCAATCAAATCGATTGGTTCACTGGCAAGGTCTTTTCCAGCCAAAGAGAGTCGAGTAATTAGTCCTTTGGTGGCCCGGCTAGACGATACAGACCAACAAATTGCAATGGAAGCTGCTATTGCCTTGCAAAAGTTTGTGGTCACTAATAATCACCTTCGTTTGGAGCATTCCAAGTCAATCATCGAATTCAACGGTGTACCAATGTTAATGAAGTTACTTACTAATGGGGATAAAATGTCACGGCCGTATGGATTAACTCTGATGTGCTACCTTGCACAATATGATAGCAATAGCAATGTTCTGATAAAAGCTGGAGCGTTGACTGCTCTTGAGAATGCAGCTCGCCTAGTCGCCGCCGAACATCCTGAGTTAAAAGAATTGGTCTCCAAGGCAATATCCATACTCCAATCCAACAAAACGATAAGCATGAAGAGTTGAGACAGTTCATCGTCACGTAGCATTAAATAGTTCATTACAGGACAGAGTAAAGTAGTTTCCGATTCTCTACATCACTTGAAGTTACTGTTGGAGGAGGAGGGGCTTACCGTATATCTACGAAGGCTAGTAAATCTCCAAGTTGATCGGAAAGTATCGCCAAGAGTAATGAGATGTAAAAAGAGATTTTTACAGGCTCTACCCTCTTTCACGACCAGGAGGAGAATTCAGCCATTTCTGAAAACCAAAAACTGGTACTAAGATCGGTGATGGACTATCCAGGGACAAGGCTAGCAATGAAGGAGATTGCACGAAAGCTTAAGCTGGTGAAGAAAATTGTCCAGTCATTGGAGAAAAAAGAGATTCGAAGAAAATTCGGTTATATCATACATAAATTTTGTAAAATTGTAGTAACATGTACATCTTGCTAGATAATTCAATGAACAAACTTTCTCCTATCTATTTTCTTCCAAGCCTTTTCCAGATTGTATGGGCCATCTCTATTGCTTTTCTGTGCCGTTTTGGTCGCAAATGGAATGGTCGCAAATCAGGCAGTACCATTTTCTATCTTTTATTTTTAATACAAACTCAAATAAAAATACAGTAAAAACATTTAAAGACAAACTCTAAATGGTTTATGTTTCTAGCACTAGCATAGCTAGTAGTTGATAAAGTAATAACAACTCCTAAATTTTGTGTAATTCTAAATCTTTTCACAGGATTTAGTGTGAAATCTAAATTCATTGATGATGAAACCTTTGTATCGTTTTACAATCCTATTTGGACCTTATGAAAGATACTTCACTTCTTCACTAACAAGCCTTCCATTCCAAACCTATAAAGGTGAAATAAATATATATGTTATTAATGATAGTTATACCGTAAGCATTCTATGTAGATTTCTCATAATAGAAAGTATGACATTACTTACAGTAGCTCCTAACTATTCATGAAAGTTTACGGTGAATAACTTATCAAGCTCTCGATGGTTTGATCGTCGATAACATGTAAGAGCTTTTAAATTATTTCTATACTCACTACAAAGCATCATGATAAAGTATTAACAATTAAAAAAAAATACAATACCTTATGCTTAATGGAATGAATAATTTTCTTACTAAAAAACTTATGTGCAAAACGATTCAATTAAGTTATGATAGAAAAGAACAAATCAATGTACTTGTACTCGAGATTTATGATCTAACTCCACCATTTCAACTTTGTGTATTGGTTGTCCAAAACTTTCAAAAAGATAATTGTAGGCAAAGTTAGTATGCTGCATACCAACATTTCTTGATTGTCTATTAAATCTTATTTCAACATCTTCCAAATAATGAAAACAAAATGTCATGCACTCTTTTGCTAAATATCATTCAAAAATAGAACCTTATGGATAGCATTTGTTGCGATAATAAGACTTTAACCTCTCCAAAAATCTATCGCACAAAACATTAGTCATATATATTTTTAACTAAAGTGGCATGATCATCAATAACAACCTAATCAATTTATTAACAAATAATACCTTTTGATAGGATACATCCATCGATAATAAATTGGCCCACTAACTTTTACTTCATACGAAAGGTGGATAACCAAATGTAGTATAATAGTGAAGAAGTTTAGAGAAAAAATCTTTTCTAAATGGCATAAAGTAATCACGGCTCGATCTTGAAGTTTATCAAGCTCTTCCACATTCATACATTTCTTATATAGACATTTAAATATTTACTCAATTCAATTACTATAGAAGTGACTTGCTTTGGCATTGATAAACGTAAAGCAATTAGAAGTAAGTCTTGCATCAAAATGTGATAATCATGTGACTTTAATGAAGAAAGTTTTTGCTCTTTCAGATTCATACATATCAATATATTTGATGCATAGCCATCTGAAACTTTGACATTTTTCAAAACCTTACAAAACATATCTTTTTTTGCTTTAGAAATCCCAAAATAGGCACGAAACAATCGATATTTGCCATTAGGAAGCAACTTTGGATTAAGGTCAGGGCAAATCTCCATATCAACTAAGTCAAGCTGACTCTTTAAGTCATCTTTTGATCTTCTATTCACATTGAGAATTGTCCTGATAAAATTTTCGCAAACATTATTCTCTATGTGCATCAAATCAAGATTATAGCGTAATAAATTATATTCTCAATAAAGCAACAAAAAAAAGATACTTTTTTTTCACAACTCAGACTCATTGGGGTCATTTTCTTCATCATCTTTTTCATCACTTTGAACATCAAGATCACCAACTTGAGTATCAGTATCACCAACTTGTATAACATGAGGCCAGACACCTTCAAAGATGTCCTTCACTCTTTTTTTTTTATGGAGTCATTTTTTTATAAGTGAAATTGAGATTTTTTAAATTTGACAAGATATTAAACCCACTAATTGGTAAAGGCGATCTCCTCAACTTTTTAGTTTCATCAAAGAGATATGTTTGGAATCTAAATCGATAATTATCATCTAACCATCGACGATGTCCCATATAATAGAACTTTTTCCTATTAGGTAACCACTTCAAATATATCTGTGTAGCACAACATGGATAAGCATAATGATCTTTTATACACTAACCAGATAAATTCGCATATGCAAGAAAATTATTAATAGTCCATAATAAAGTAGCACGCATATTGAAGTTCTATTTTTTTTTATAAAGCAAGAAAATCATTTCCATAATTGCTTTAACTCTTCAATAAGAGGTTGTAAGTAGATGTCTATATCATTATCCGAATTTTTTTTTGTTTTGGAATTATCATAGACAATATAAATGACTATTGCTTCATAGCAATCCATTGTGGTAAATTGTAGGAAATTAATATAACTAGCCAAATACTATAAGAATTACTCATAATTTTGAATGGATTAAATCCATCAGATGCTAGTCCAAGTATAACATTTTGAGGATCAGATGCAAAGTCTAAAAACCTAGAACGAAATTATTTTCATGCTAAAAAATTTGTAGAATACTTCAATGATCCATTATTTGTCCGCTTTTTATGATGCCACCTCATTGAATCTACAGTTTTGAAGACGTGAAGAGTTGTTGAAGTCTTAGTATTAATGAAAAATAACGTACAACCCTAATAGGTTCTTTTTGACATAGGTTTTATCACCATCCTCATTCAACCTTTCATTGGAGTTTTTATCTACCTAACGAGAAATACCACATAAATGACAAGATTCTTGATTTTTTCTATCACCCTAATACAATGTGCAATCATTAAGACAAATATAAATTTTTTTATATTCAAGACCAAATCCTTGATCATCTTTTTTGATTCCTTACAAGATTGAGAGATTTTTACAAAAATAAACATTTCTTTTATAAACTCTAATAATAATGTCAGAAAATTTCCCATCCATCCATATAAACATTTCAAGTGAAAAAGATGAACATAAAAAAATAGCCTTAATGCTTTGATCCTTCATAAAATTCTTTATTCATATCTTCAAGCAACCTATAAAACTTTGATGCTTCTTCTCTAGGTTGTTGGTGACCTACACCTATCCCAAGTTCACCAAATTCATTCATTTCAACATTAGACTGATTAAATCCATCATTTTGGGGAGATGAATTACGAAAATATTGGTTATGAATGTTAAAAGCATCTCGTAATATGCCTTCAATGTCATATGCTGTAAAAAGATCATGTTAGTGTTGGAAAGCCCTTGAAGTTGAAAAAACTCTAGTGAAAGACCTTGATGGTACAGACTTTTAATGAAAATACCAATTAATATATCCCGAGACAAATCCAATATAAATTAAATGTTCAAAAACAACTTCACGCATTTGTCAATCGATATTAGCACACTTTATACATGGGCATAATATCATGTTATCTTTCATTATATTCTTAAATGCAAAATTAAAAAAAAATTCACTCTATCTTTGTACTCTTGACTTAATCTTAATTTTTGCATCCAACTCTTATCCATTATGTACTTGCTACATTATCAAACCAAATGTATATAAATAATTTATATGAAAATAAACATGTAAAATACTTAAGTTTACTATGTTTTAAACAAAAGATAATAACAAGATCAATACTTACAGAAGACCAAAACTCCATATTGTGAAGTATTTTATTAGCTACTTGATATTATAAATGTTAAAATTCTGTTGCTAACGTAGATAGTACCTTAGAGTACTTGTAGTTAGGGTTTAAATAAGGTAAAATTGGTACAGAGGAAACCTAAAAAAAGAAGACAATGAAAGGGAAAAGGAAGTGGATGATGGGTTGCAAATGGGTATTTGAGGAAGGTGAGTTTTGGATAAAATTGTTTAAACAAAAAAGAATATTACGAATTACAGAAGCTAAAGGAATAGCAAAATTAAATAAAAGTTAAAGTAAATAACTAATGAATAGTCAAAATAGAGTTCTAAAAGACAAAGCTTGAATACTAAAAGCTGAAGAAAATAGGTATTAGAGGAAGGTGGGTCTTGAAGAAAATTGTTTAAACCAAAAAGAATATCGTAAATTACAAAGCTGAAGGAATAGTAAAATGAAATAAAAGCTAAAGTAAATAACTAATGAATAGTCGAAACAGGGTTCTAAAAGACAAAGCTTGAATACTAAAAGGTAAAGAAAGGGAAAATAAATTATAGTTGGTCTGAAAAGAGAAATAGTATAATAATGAAGATGAAGCTTGAAATTTAGGGACTATTTAATTGGACCAAATTATTGAAGGCGTTTACTAAGAAAAATGTCTTCAATAATTTTCTCTTAAATAATTTTTGAATATATTATAGGCACCTTCGACAGAGTCGTTAAAAATTTTAAGACGATGATTAAAGGCATTTAGGCCCCAAAATTGCCTTTACTAATTTTATCTAATTTTTATGGTGTATTTATTAAAAATATTTTTTCTGCATAATATGCCTTCAATAATTTCCTCATTTTTATCAGTGAATATCAGTGAAGGTGATTTGCTACTAAAAACGGCTTCAATAATTTTTTTTAATTTCTAAGAGTAAATTAT